AACACAGGGCTTCAGTAGCACGTTGCCATTTCACTCTGTTCTACACAGAGACTTCTTAACTTAGCTCCACGATTACCCAGAATCTTTCATTTCTTCCTCATACTATCTACTGCATATCACACTCGGATACCCAACTCATCGTTTCCCATTTGGATTCTACTCAACGGCCTGGCTTGGCCTGACGCATGATGTCCCCAGTCGGTCTTCTCAGTGTATATCCAAATCCATTTGAATCCATCTCCACTTTTTTTCTTGTGTATATTGATTGAGGCGATAGGTTGTTGGTTAGTTGATTCGTTGCCATACTATCCAGAATTCCTTGTTACTTATTCTTTCTGGTCATCTGATCTGATCTTGAGTATGAAATGAGCGTCGGTGAAAGCTGTTGATCTACTGTATGTCTGTAGTTTGTTGAAAATGTTTTTCTTAACGTTTCAGGTCTCTGATCTTATAAATTAGATAAAAAGATGCATATTATTTGATGATTGACCTTAAAATAGAATTGTTTTGTATAGCACAGTATCCTCTTTTAGAGTTTCGTGTAAGCTAGTTCTCAACCAATCTAATTAACTACCAGTGTTTATTATTTTCTTAAGTGAGAAAGTTTCACTATGTAATGATTCATTGTTGAACTAATTCAGGTCACAAGTACTTAGGTAGATAAATGGAGAATAGAGATTATAAGCATTTTTATTAGTATTTTATACACATACTATAAAGCAGCCATCTAATTTTTATTACCTTCTCAAGAATTAGTATACATCAAGATTCAGTATAAATAGAGAAATTAAATCGATTCAATTTATCACCTTTTTAACTGTTGAATTCAATTTGATGAAAAGATTAGGTAATAATAGTTTCTAGGCAGCATCGTTTCAACTACAGGCGGCAAAGGCATAAATGAGGATGTCAAAGCAGCTAGGAGCGGAAAGACATCAAGACAGGCGTTCATTAGTCTGAAACCAGTGTGGAGATCTTCTGCACTCAGCATAAAGCATGAACAACATCCGGATTTTCAACAACAATTCAGTCAAGTCAGTGCTCCTATATGGTTCAGAAACTTGGAGCATTACGAAAAGGATTTGCAACAAACTACAGACATTCATCAACAACTGCCTACACTTGATACTGGAGATCATATCAGATGTCCAGAAAGAATAATCAAAGAGGAACTCTGGTTGGCTGGCAACGAACCAACCAAGAACCTATCACTCAATAAATATGCAGAAGGAAGTGTAGATGGATTGAGCATACACTGAGAAGACGGAGTGGGAACATCAAGCGCCAGTCCAGTTGCTCGAGTGGAACCCAGTTGGGAAACGACGAGTTGGGCTTCGGAGGTGAGGGTGACACATTGAGGAGGAGATGGTGTGAGGAAGAAATGAGAGGTTGTGGGCTGTTGTTGAGCGATGTTGAAAAGACTGGAGAGAGGAGAGTGCAATGGCTTTGTGCTACTGAAGCCCTATGTTCAACCAGGAACTCAAGAGGAAAAAAAATAATATACTGTTGGATGTGTCGATTATTTTTTTCGATGACTGGATACCTTTAAGAGGGTAACGCTATTTACTGGTTAAAGTATAAAAAATGATACGAGAAGTTCCAAAATGGCGTCTAAATGTAGAATGAAAAACGATCTATTTCACTTTCAGCCTGAGTTATATAATATTCTGTTGGTTTTATTAGTACAGTGGATCATAAATACTTTGGGATGTGGTTTTGATTCATTCAACATCATAAAACAATAATATTCATGATGTTTTGAGATTTCATTCACTGACATAGCTTGGATATGAACTGCGCATATCCAGCAACTAGTTACCTTGATGTACCATGCTACGGAATGGGAAAGGTTCAAGATGATAAGACCAAGGCATGGCACCATTTGATGATGTCCTTGACTGTCTATCTGAGTCATGTTCTAAAATGATGACTACCTGGTTAAGGTCTTTTTAGGCAATAGGAATCAGTGATTGAGGACTAAGTCACTCTTGTTGACATAGTTGAAAATCGATGATAATGGTGCAAATGTATTCACTAGTTGACATCGTCTAAAGTTTGAATATTTACATTTAACTGTTATCTTCAGGCTATTTATTCTCTTATACAACTTTATCTACTTTGATTTCATTCTTTTTTCATCCACCTGTTCTATGAAGTGTCGCAATTTTAACACATACACTTGTATGATAGATTCTAAGATGTTTGTATATCTTGACATTTAAAACAAAATTTCTTTTTTCAATTAAGATTACCAGTTATTACTGTTTAACATTAGAGGTGTGTTGGAATATATTCACGTATTCGTTTTTGTCACTATAATAAGATTGTGTAGTAGAATCACCGACATGAGAAATACAATCTGAACAAAAAAAATTGCTACTATATGTAGTCACTACTCTGACCTTTTTGGTGTGATTTTTCTGTCTGTTTATATTCATTATCTTTATCACTATACTACTTAAATTATTTTTAAGTAGTGTAAATTTTAAAGTGTATATTCTGTGTGAATGACACTTTCATTCGAATGGCGTATCGTTGATGCATAAAAGCGTTTTTAAACATGATTTTCTGTTATCATCTTGTGTTTGTAAATTTGCATTGAGTTTTACCTGCTTAGTAGATTACTACCATGTTAACTTAAATCAAAGTTTCAAAGAGAGATAAACATTATATGAAAAAACTTGCTTATGAAAGATCAACAGATAGACAAAATCACTGTAGAACCTCACACATAACTCCATTGGCTGAAATTGCCACACTTCACAGTAGTATGCAAAGAACAGATGGACAGAAGAAGACCGATATCAAAACGAACAAATTTTTGTGAGAGAATAAGTAGTTAAACGATAACGGCTGGTGAAAATATTCAAACTTTAGACGATGTCAAGGTGTGAATACATTTGCACCATTATCACCCACTTTCAGTCATGTCATCAAGAGTGACTGAGTCTTCAACCACTGGTTCCTGTTGTGTCAAAAACTTCAACCAGGTCGTCGTCATTTACGCACACTACTCTGACAGACAGTCAAGGACTTAGTTTAGCTACCCTGAACCTTCTTCCAACCTAATCTTACTTTCCTTAGTATGGTCCGTTGATGTAGATGGTATTCAAGCCATCTCAGTGGATGTAGATTCACAACCTCGTCAGTCGACTTGCTTTTATTCTCTAGTTACCCTTCGCTTTACTTCAACACGCGAGCAATGTTATGAAGATACCTGTGATCAAAACCCCGTGATTACTTTATATCCTCTACTTTTAACAGCTATATCTCACAGATGTACAACAGAACAGAGTGAAATTCAGAGTAGAATGCTCTTCATTTGATAAATAGTCGAATATCTCGTTAGATGATGAAACTTCTTCGATTCCACTGCCAGCCATTATCCATAATTAGTTATACAATATTTAATAATCATATCAACAGATTGTGTTCAATTAGATGATAATTTCAGGAAGATATTGTAGGTGTGTATCGCTTATGACCAAATATCATCCATAACCCCCCCCCCCCACGTTATGACTAAAAGCTGGTATATGGAAGGTGCATTTGATTGAACCACTAATAATACTTGTTAGTGCTAAAATTACTCACTTCAGTAAGTATAATTTCTGTGGATTAGTTTACAGATGTATATTAACCTGGGATAATTTTCAAGTGTATTTCAGCATTATTACTTTGGTTCAAGTCATTAAGTTTAACTTTTTCAATGCACTAATCACTCATGTAGTTCTGCTAGATACTTTTCCTCCAGTGGACCAATTTCATTGCTTCATTTCAACTATACAATATATTAAGTTGATATTCGTCATAGACTGACATCATTTGGAGAAAGATTGAGAATCTGGGAGCACTGGACAGCTGTTTCGACATGGTATTAGACTCCTCAGCAGTGCACACCCGTGATCTCTCCTCAGGACCTTCAGGTTCCATAGCCAGCACATTATGAATGGTCCATATCTCCTACTTCTGTCATTCTAAGTCATAGCTCCACCGGTCACGATTTCTTATTAGAACTTCAAGAATCACTTCTCGAAGCTAGTCACCAATAAGGACTAGATTAATTGTATTTAAAGGCATTGGATGAAGGTCAGGCTATGTTGTGAACTGACGGAGGTGCACACTGCTGAGGAGTCCTATACTAGGATGAAACAGCCGTTTAGTGCCCTCAGGTCTCCAATGTTTCTCCAACTGATTTTAGTCCATGGTGAATACCAACTTGAAACCTCACCCACCCAATTGAAATTTACTTTGTTTTACATTCACTGGATTGGTGTTGAAAATCCAGATGTTGTTCATGCTTTATGCTGAGTGTTGAAGATCTGCACACTGGTCTCAGGCTAATGAACGCCTGTGGTTGAAACGGTGCTGCCTAGATAGGTGAAACAGGCTACTTCCTTTAATTTTCTCCCATTGATGGTGATCGGAGCTTGTTGTTGTTGTTGGTGGTGGTGTTGTTTGGGTATCATCATCACCTGTATCTTCTCTACGTTCACTTGAAGTGCCGTCTTCGCTGCCCTGCCTCTTGTGTCAACTTGTTAGTTTTCACCTGTAGATCTTGAAGTTTGTGTGACATTAGACAGAAGTCATCGGCGAAATCCAAATCTTCTAGGTTCTTTCCTGCCGTCCAGCGTATCCCCTTCTTCTCGCTCCTCACTGTTTTGTTTCATGATCCAGTCAACCATAATCAGGAATATGATCGGTGATAGTAGGCTGCAGCCTTGTTTCACTCCTGTCTTTACTTCAAAGACATCACTGAGCTTCCTATTGTAAATTACTTGTGAATACAAATATCAAAATAATAAGGATAAATGTTTGTTTTTATAATTTTTCGTAATCATCAAAGCTGTGGACAATGTTGAGAAGTAATCATCTTCACAAAGTTATTTGTGTTAATACATCGCTTTGTCCTCTTTGTGTGTGTGTGTGTGTGTGTGTGTGTATGTGTATGTATGTATTCATATATATATGTGTGTATTTATTTTATTTTGTTTATCAAGGTAATGCGTGGTTTAGCTTCATTGGAACAAGCAGATAGTTGTAAAAGTGATTCAAGAACATTAGAACGTAATCAAGAACTTACTCGTAAACTTTGTTTACCCAGTGCAAAACATGCTCCAGACTTAGTAATGGATCTTCCTGTAACATCAGATAATCAAATACAAAAAAATGATATATCAACTACTAATTTCATTCATATAGAAACAGGTGATAGTTTTGCTGAACATTTTGCTGAACAAAATTTGGATACAATGCGTAAACGTTCTGAGGTTCATACAACATTATCTTCTCAAATATCTAATCGATTTTCTACTAGTTGTAAAAGTAGTAATAGTAATAGTAATAATAATAATAATAGTAGTATGTGTAGTACAAGTTGTGGAGAACTTGGTAAAGTTATTCTACGTAATAAAAATAGTCATATCTCAGAAATGCCTATCAATTCATCAGAATTTCTTAGAACTAATTCTATAAAAGAAGAAGAAAACAAAGATATATTACATACTTCTGATGAAATAATTATTCAACCGAAACTTTCAATAGCTGATCGTGTAGCAGTTTTTGAAGCAAATAAATCATCAGATTCAATTCGTTCTTCCATAATTACAGCTCCTAAATTAGCTCCTAAACCTAAAAGAAGTTAAATTGTTTCCCAATTTTTTATGCTCCTAACCATTAGGTTAGGTATTGATGCTTTGTTCTGATTGGTCAATTGTAGAACAAAACTGACCAATAAGGTTTGTCCTGATTACACTACACACAATACATGTTTTTTACAGCTGATATAAAAAAAATTGTTTCTTCATTCATTCATTCATTCAGAATAATATGCAATTACTCTAGTTTATTCCTATTATTTGGATATTATCATGTGTGTGTGTGTGTGTGTATGTATGTATGTGTATTCAGGTGAAGTTTATAAATATTGATACATAGAGAGTGCTTCCTTCCTATCAACTACTCCATCATATTCCCCCCCCCTCCCTACCCTCTCCTTAAATTTTATTGATTTAATGGTGAAATTTGGTAATCCTTATCTTTAGCCTCTTTTATATTGATTGACTGTAGAGTTGAAAAAAAAAAAGTTATCAAAATTATGTTGTACATTTGGTTTTAATACTTTATCACTGTCTTATTTCATGAGCCTTGATATACATGATTTTGGAAATTGTTGTTATAGGGGGGGGGGGGGGTGAGTGTGCCCGTAGTTGTTGCCCAATCGATTTATGGTTTGTTTCCCTTTTTTTTTTTAATTATTATATGTTTTACTCTCAAATCAACACATGAATCTGAATTATACTACTCATCCTGTTAATGTAAAATGTTTCTTATAATCGCTGTTTTACAATCTTCGATCTGTTGTTTGTTTATTTGTTTTGTTTTTTTTAAAGCCTGATAATACTCCTGCCTTAATCAACTCGTAATTTATGTCTTATACACCTACCCAACCCCCCTTGCTTCATTTCTCTTTCTCTTGGTGCTTTGTTTGATACTTTGAGGTTGACTCTAATGGTTGAACTGTTGGGGAGGGGGGGGCGGTGTACTTCCATCAGTTTTTATCTCTTGTCAACGAGTCAGAAGACTGCCAACTGCTTTTCTCTTCTCTGCAGTCTATTTAACTGTATATCCCGGTAATCTCATTCATTTTTTTTTTACTAATTGGATGCTTTTACATACGTGTGTGTGTGTGTGTGATGCTTATTTGTTCGCTTGATTAGTGTTCCATTTATTCGCCTCTTCTTCCCTTTTTTTAGACTAATTTTTTTTTACAGAAATTCTCTTCAATAATCCACTGATTGTCTTTTTTTTTTCATTACTTTATAGTTTGGTTTCATTTTAATATGTGTCTACATGTTTACTTATTTATATTTGATTGCATGTGAAAACAAAATGGATGTTCCCGCTTTCAATAAGCAAATGAACATTTATAGTTAGTGCCTTATCCTTAGAGGTTTATTTAGTCACTAGTAATGTATGTGATATGTAATGTTTATATTGTGTATGAATGGTGTTTGTTATGGGTTCGAAGACGCTAATGGTATATGTATATATATATATATATATATATATATATATATATATATATATATATATATTCCGAAACGAATATAATACGCGCGCTTAACTGACAGGTAACTTGGTACGCAAGAGACACTGGCTGCAACCCCTGGATGAATAGAGAGAAGACCGAAGCTGGTAGATAGGAGAATGTGTATTACTCCGAGAATATAGTAACAATGAATCAATCCAAAACACGTGAATAAGTATACATATGAAAAATGACCTTGTCCGCAATTGGAGAAATTCGCATAGTAAGAATAAAAATTAACCAATCAGCGAATTACATTACAATGGAGACAGAAAATAGACTATTAGTCATATCGTAAAAATAATGTGGGAATGACACGTTAAAATGTTTGGATCGATAACAATGTTTTATACAAAACTGGGGCATCACAACAGGGTTTCAAAACATAGTTGAATATGCCTGATATCGGTTATGCCAAACCTGATAGTTACTACCTTATTGTGTTAGTTGAAATTGTATACCACAATTACTGAACGAGCTACAGACCAGAAAGGTCTGCTGGATAGCGGTAAGACAAACAGCAGATACTTTCAGGTGAAGCTATACTATTGAATGGAGGGAGTGTGACCAGGAGTAAGGTGTTTCTGATGAACGACCAGTAGTTTATCCTCATGCTACCTTCTTGATGTGAAGAAGGGGTTGAAAAGGTTTCCCCAAAAATAGCGCACTTCCCGGTGCTCTACAGTATTCTGGTGTCGAAGATATGAGGTTTTTCTTGTCTAGTGTTGGCGCAATCAAATCTCAACCCATCAATCTTAAAAAGGTCGTGTGTAGTAGGCCTCAAACAGACGTCCCATTAACTGTGCAGCTAAGTAAGTTGCAGAAAGAACTTGCACAGTGTCGAAACCCGAAAAGTATCAACCATCTGCACGATTCAAGCAGTATACACCATAACCTATCCTCCTTACCTTTTTCACCTCTAACCTCCCTTCTTGACGCCAATATAGAACCTCTTACAACCACCTCATCCTGCGACTATCGTTAGGAATCCGAGCTGGCAGAACACTATTCTTAGTCTCGTAAAGCTATGCTACTAATTTCATATTCGAGCTTTAAACGTTCGAGCCATATGTGAAGTCGGATGACAGGTGTCTCTCGTCATAACTCTGTAGTGGGTGTATGCTATATTTTTGAGATGTAGATGCAGCACCGATGTACGGTTATTCACTTGACCTCACCCGACCAGTGTGGTGATTCTGTGAGTGTCCGGCGGTTCAATATGTAGCTCTTGTGAACTTGCTGGCATAGTTACAGTGTTGATTTCTCGATAAGAAAACGCACTCCTCGATTTTATATCGGCCGTCAATCATGTGACTGAATGGATTTGTAAGAAGTAGGAAGGGTTTCGACACCCACCGATGCCTACGTGCTCATCGACTGAAGTTTAGATGATATAAAGGATGAATTCTATTGACAACTGTCAGTTTAGCTACACAAAGCAAAATGTTCCGATATAGTCATAGTAGTGGATGAATTCAACACTCAAGTAGGAAAGCTGAGTTAGTTGGAAAGGCATTTTGGAGATATCTACGGAATCCAATACCACTGAATTGACAACAGTGATTGTCTTCTACAATTTTTGTCCCGACAATTATTTGTTTCTAGCCAGCATTAACTTCAAGCATAAGCAGAGACAGCCTCACTTGGCATTCACCATCAGACCGACGACGTATGCACTATTTCCTTATAAGCTGTCGGTGGAAAAGATAAACAGACGAAATAGGAACAAGATCTGGTATTATTGTTTAGTTGGTGATATGGCTGAAAATCGGTCACAACAGCTCAGATGTATTGACTCTTCAAGACATTTTCACTAGATTTCATCTTTGAAATTCTCTCCGCATACTGCTATGAAGTGTTGTGATCGATGCACTTCTGTACAAGATTCTACGGTGGTTTTGTCTGTTTTTGACATATGCACTAAATAGGTTCATAATAATCTTGTAAAAACCTGTTCGTTTTCACAGATAGTAGCTAGATTTCAAAGATTCGATGTTTAGCATTAGTACATCCACACATTTATTTCAAGAGCTATTGGATACCTCACGGTTGATGTTCCCTACCCACGGAGTAGTATAGGACGTATTCCGTGGTGTCACCATGTGAGTAATGCAGAAGTTAGGTGTAGAGTTTTAGGGAGAAGAGGTAGGTCAGTTGACGAGGTTATGAACCTTCATCGACTGAGATGGCTGGTTGGGACACGTACTACGTATGCCTAGTCACCGATTGCCTCGTCACACAATGTTGGTTGAGGTGGGTCCAAGCTGGAAAAAGGCCCGAGGTGTCCAGACTAAAACATGACACCAATGTATGAAGTCTTTGACTGTTGGTTTAAGCCATGTAGAGCGATGCAGACTAGGTAGTTTGGGTCCTCAGGACAAGAGGAACCAGTGGTTGGAGACTGAATCTAGGTGATATGGCTGAGAGCCGATGTCAGTGGCGCAGATTTATACACACATTGTCCTCATCTTAACGACACTGTACCGAGTCTCACCATTTTGTCACTCCTCTTTCCTTTCTTCTCGTACTTTATATTTCTTTTGACTGCATTCTCTTATCTTCATCATTCACCTCACTACCTTTCTACTTGATGTGCTGATATGAGGTGTGGCAACTCGGACCGTTACGCAGTAATGCCTGGTCCTATGTTGATATTGACTGAGTGCTTCGCTACACATTGGTACTTTTCTGTCTGTTTGTATGCTTACACGCACCTAACATTTAATAGACTGTGCAAAACTTCGAAGTGCTGTCGATTTCTTGAGGCAGACTGATTACATAATCCTTATCTAAACGTTGCGGATAGTTTAGGAGCCAGGCTGCTTTGGGCGAAGAAAAAAACCACCATACCATACGAACTTGCGAGGCAACTCTCCTTATAACTTTTGAAAGAATCTATCTCCTGTCAGGAAATATTTTACCTTATATATGCAATGTAAGGTCAAACGCTTTAGATAGCTTTAAACTAGCCAACTATCGGAATGAGTTTCACAACTGATGTGTTTTTCTGTAGCTTGAAGTGACCGAGTGAAGATGTTCAAATACGCGATGAGACACTTGGGCTGGATACGAATAACGAATGTTCTCCTTCACACGCCGGCGTATGACTGCAGGGAAGATACCTTATTTGACAAAAACGCATGTTCAATTGTCATGAACAAAGAAAACCGCTACGTCAAAAGTTAAGTAATCTATTCTGATTGGTCAACTGTAGGACAGAATTGTCCAATAAGGCTTCTCCTGAACGTAATCACTGACATGGAACAAAAATTCAAAACTCCTACCTTAGTGGCTGATGACTTAAAATGTTGATTTCTATTTAAACTGCTATCCATCATTATAACCTGACATGAAATAAAGATAATAACAACTACGTCGGAATCATGAATACATTTATTGGCCGATTTCACCATACCCTAGTTGACCACTAACTTATTAAATATCTGCATCGATAACGGGGAATTTCCGCTTGCTTGTCAGAAACTATGTTTTCCTAACAGCTTATGAAGTGAGAAGAATTACTTCGAATATGAATAAAAATGGGAGGGAGAATACCAACCAGCAACTATTCAATTGGGGTATAGATCGTGATTGTTGTACAGACACATGTGGTACAACGCTGGCACACATTACTGTGCAAAACACAATTGTGAAGGTCAGGACAGACAGAATCATAGATACAGTAAAAACGATATGCATCTCATTAACCAGTTGGTTTACAGCACTTAAGCTATGAGTTGCACCTGAGGTATGAAGACTTGTTACACTAATTGGAGACTGAGTATATGACCAATTGGAAGTTGAATACCTAAGCAGATACACCACTCATTGATGAAACTACAATCTTATCCATGCGAATAATAGTTAGACTTAACAGTTTTTAATGTGGTTATTCTACAACTTCAGAGAATCCTGTATTCAAAGAAGTTATACACATCTTTCAACCTCTGATGTAACTGTGGTTAACATGAGTGCAAATGTTCAAATGATGTCTAGTTAACTGTTACACCACTAAACTAAGTCAGTGGGCTCACAAGTTGACTCAGTGTAGTAATTGGATTCTGACTATTCAAACAAAAAACTGAATGTATATCAAACGACTGAATTGACAGCCAAATATCCTCCCTTCAGAACCTTATGCTTCATTGAACCACCTATGATTGTAAGGAAGACACCTAATTTGACCAAAAACACATCATTTATACACAAGAATTGGATGCTTTATTCTGATTGGTCAGTTGTAGAACAAAACTGCCCAATAAGATTTCTCCTGATCACCACACACAATAACATGAAAACTAGGTTGCAATCTAAAACTTCTATCTTAGCGGCTAATGACTTAGGATATTGGTTTTGATGTAATCCGCTTCCTATCACACACACACACACACACACACACACACACACACACACACACACACACACACCTAATCCAATCACAAAAAATATGAGGCAAACCGTATTTCCTTTTAGCTAATTGGTTAGTTACGTTGATATCCCGAAATTTTACAGCACTATCTCTTTGCAAGAAATAGAACTCAGAAATTGTAACCAAGTCCAATAAATGTGAATAAATTCAGACAACAGAAAATTAGAGAAATATATTTACAAACACTGTACATAGAGAATATTTTTCAAGATGAATCATCCACATCAGTTTCTGATGTCATAACAACATATTCCCGTGTAGAAAAGCCAAATTTAATGACATCCTTTTCAAGAAGCTCGTAGTAGCGACGTGGTTCAATCCTATTGTTATTAAGGTATGTTCCATTTGCTGACTCTAAATCTATGATGTACAAACGAATTGCGCCACGAACCTACATTAAGAAGAATAAATGTAAACATAAAGTAAAGCCACAATGCTATAATTCTCTGCTCTATAAAAAAGATGACTCACACACACACACACAAAACATCGATGATGGGGACCACCTTTAAACTCACACTTCTACACCCCCCTTCCCCCATTGCAACAGGACACCTCGAAGCTGGTCGTTACATTTTACTGTCGGGGGTGGGATACAACTCGCTCATGGCTAGACCAACGTGCAACGATAGCCATGTAACTTGAACCAGTTCCACACACCATGCCTAGCCTCTTCCTTAAATCAGGTACACTGGGACAGTATTTTCTCGTCGGGGGGGGGGGGTTAAACGCATTCGAAACTTCCATTTCTAGTTTCAATTTCTAGACTATCTCGAATCTTCGCTATAGATCACTACCGTTTATCGATTATCTTTTACTCGAGTCGTTAGTTCAAGTTTTTCTGTTCCTCTTCTCTCTTCTAGATTCACCTCTAAACTCACACTTCTACGACCCCCCTACCCCACCATCTGCAACAGCGCACCGACAGGTTTAACGAAAATCGACCAACAGCTGGTCGTTACATATTCATTTAGCCAACACTTGAGGTATAGATATAATATTCAATGTAGTCAAACACTCATTACATCATGTTAAGAAAATTAGCACGATAATTGCAATATTAGTTTCAAGGAACAGTAACTATGCAATTTATCCCGGTGAGTGAGATGAAACAACAAATGTTAAAAGTAGCAACAATAAGGATAGATAAGGTGCCTGTAGCAATAAATAGATGCATCATTTACACTATTTGAACGGTTATAATGTTTATCCTTTCTCGGGTGTGGATCTGTGGTCATTCGTTTAGGTAGATGACTTTCAGCCAATTGGTCACAGGTCCGAACACTGACCTGCCTACCGAGATTTCATCAGCCAGGTGTTAGCCCTCATATACAACAGGTTTATAGCTGAATGCCTACTGCACGAATGTGCACAAGGTTGCTGAGTGCATTTCAATTTTCTCGGGTACATTTCTGCACATGAATAGCAAAATTTGAGAATACAAAAACCACAAACTCCTCTGACTTTATTTACTACCCTGCCTTTTTTAATTATATATTTTATATGTCATCTGTTTCGTCAGAAACATGTGTCCTCCAACTAGTTACATATTCATCATGGACTGCGGAAATAACGGTTGTACGCAAGGTAAATGGTTCTTTTCGTTTATATGCAGATTTCTCCATCAGTTTAAATGATGCTTATCCACTACCAATACAGGAAGACCTTTCCTTCAACCTAATGATGCCAAGTACTTTGCTAAAATCGATTTTAAAATTGTAATCGAACCAAGTTCCAAAGAGATGTTAACAATCGGTACTTATCGATCTCCTTATCAGTACACTCACCTAGCTTTTGGTATCAAACTAGCACCTATTATCTTTCAGCAAATCATGGAAACAATGCTGACCAATCCACCCTAGAGTTACCAGTCTATCTAGATGATGATTACAGCAGCTAGTAAGTCTGAACTGTTTGATTGTCTGGACGCTATACTATCGAAAATATCTGAGTATCGATTTTATCATAAAGAAGAAAAGTAAGCAGTTTTCACGGCTTCAGTGAAATATCTTGGTTTTATCTGAAATGAACATGGGCGTCGATCAGATCAAGAAAATGTCAGTGGTATGCAGAATCCAGAGAACAAAATGCTAGTCTAAGTTACCACCTTGCCCATCATAGTGGCTATTATGAGTCGTTAAAAAGAAGGGAACAATACTACTTGTCTACAGAAAAAAGACTACATTCGATGCGTACAGGAATGAAACTATCCAATAACATTCATTACAGCTTCAAGCTTTAAACTGAGGTCAGTCAAAGATACATTGGTGTTACTGCAACTGATGCAAAGTCGTACCAATTAAACTTTTAAAACCGTATGTAAGGGCCTTTTTGCGGAGTTGAACCAAAAAAGCGAACACTTCTCTACATCACTTAGAAAAAAGCGGTAAGACTAGCAGGTCGTTCCTAGTTTACTGTCTGATTATTACTGGACTAATATAATGCAAATTCTGTGGTTTTTATGAATGGGGGTATAGGAAATATGCTTAAACAAACAGGTAGACTTTGCTTGTTCTACGACTACGCCTGTTAACAGAATACTGAACTATGTGATGACTAGGCATCAGTCAGTAAAAGATCATACCTTTATTGAATGATTTCAATTCCCTACAACCCTTAATTTCTTCATCGCTCACAGTGATTCAGCACATGAAGATAATGTTAATTCTTCGATGATCTAATAACTGTCTGCGACGAACTCGCAAGGAAGACGACTGATCGATGGGCAAAACACTTGAACTCGTCTTGTGCTACTATTTCTTTATCAGATACCCAGTCAGATCCTGAATGGAACTCGGAGACAAGCCTTTGTAGCCTTGCAGAAGTCAGAAAGGCCTTAAGTAACCTGAAACAATGAAGGACAGCAGGGTCGGACGGACTAGTAATACAAGTACTTAAGGATGGTGGTAAAAGATCTGTCCCGATAAACTGAAGAATTAGCTGGCGGAGAGAAATTAGAGATGATCCATTCAGAATGGTCCTGACTGCTGATTGTCGCAATCTTTAAGAAACGCCAGAAATCTCATTGTGATAACCACAAGGGGAATAGCCTGATGAACATACTGTCAAAGATTCTAGGTCCTATAATTGTTAGATGTCCGAGTGGCGCTCAGGAAAAGCGAACCGGAGAATTTCAAACAGGCAAAGATCAGACTTGGCTGTAGGCGTCCCGACCAGGTGTTTACACTCCGTCAAGTCCCGGAATACAGATACACTTTCCGACGCCCGACAGTGGCTGGGTTCCTTGGCCTAGAGGCGGAATTCGACCCCGTCGATTGACAGGTCTAATGGCAGTGTCTTTCATTGAAAGGGTGTCAAGTAAGTACACCACTTTTGAAGGCTTGAACATGCGTGGGCGTTTCAGTGCCTGTGGTGAGTTGCCAGGCAAGTTGTGTATGTAGAGCAGTATCTGTCTAGAATGTCCACTCTCTCCATTCTTATTTAGTTTTATCGCTGAGATAGAAATGGAGGTCTCTCTGACGTCGTGTAACTTTACAGGGGTAAAACTTGTCACAGGAAAGTCCTTATTAGAACTACAATACGCAGATGACATAGTCCTGTTAGATGAAGATGCTGAAAAGATACAAAGTCTTCCGGGCACCCGAAGTGGCAATTTGCGAATGTTTGGGATGCGTATCTAACCACTAAAATGCAAACTGTTGCTCAAGGCCTTGTCTTCTCTGGTGCATTCTCTGAAAATAGATAGTAAAGTGACCGAGCGCATTGACCACTTCAGTGACTTCAGAAGTCGGATCAGTGACCGATGAAATCTCGACACAAAACAAGTCATCTGACTTCTATTAAATTGTGCCACTTTTGGCGCTGCCGTCATATTTGATTGCCTATTAAGGGTAGAATAAACTGTACTACAGTTCGCTCTGTTTTACAACATGGCTGTGAAACGTGTCCATTAAGGGTGGAGGACATGAAAAGGCTTTAGGTGTTTGACTACTGTTGCCGTCGTAGCATTGGCCGTGTTGCAGTGTCACCGCATCAGTATTGTAGAAGTCAAGTATAAACTTTTAGGGAGGAGAGAGGTCCATTGGTGAAGCTGTGAACCTTCACCGACCGAGGTGGACGAGACATGTGTTAATCATGCCTAGTTACTGTCTGACTCGTCGCACAATGACAGATGAATTAGGTGTAGACTGATAAAAGATCAGAGGGGGATAGACTAAGACATGGCTTCGTTGCAGACAGACAGACAGACAGACTCGACGTAGGGTCTCCATACAACTGCATCAGCTTAAGCTGCCACACTTAACAGTGGTGTCCAACGAACAAGTAGATAAAAGAGTAATATCCAAAAAGACAAAAGTGTATGAGGAGAGAAGCAATTTGAAGATAGTGGTGAGTGCAAATATTTCAAGGAGTGAATACATCTGTGCCATCGTGACTGATTTTAAGCTGTCCCCAAGACTCGTTAACCACTGATCTCTATCCATCATTGCATGACGTCTTTGACTGTCGATCTCAGCCGTGTAGGGAAATGTAGACTTCCGGTTGAGGGCGGTCTGATAACAGAAACAGTGGTTGCAAACTCTAGGGCAAACGACTCAGAATCGATTTTAAAGACGCATTATTGTCATCTTGGATCAGTATTTTTTTATTCCTCCTCCCTCTTATATTACTTTTGGCTGGTTTTTCCTTATCTCTTTATCTTTCATTGTAGTGCTTTCTCACTTGATTTGCCGGTATGACATGTGGCAACTTCGACCGTTGCGCAGTAATGCCTGGTTCTGTGTTGATGGTGATGAATACAGTACTATTTACTACACGGTGTTCTGAGTTTTTCTTGGCGCCCATATCACATCAAATTTTTTTTCAACAAATATGAGCGATTTTTAAGAAAATAACATCTACAAGTGTAACAATGAAAAACTACAAAGCTAAAATAGATTATTTAATGTATTCAGTGAAGATATCCTATCATATGCTGAGATACGACCATAAAATTTTGAGTAGAAAGTCATCTACAAGATGTACTGATTACGATGCACTCCATTCAAAAAGATATTTTGAGGTAGTCAAATACTCTATTTACACCAAGGACTACAGAGTTTCGGGAGCAGATAAGTAAAGCTGTATTACAGGATCTAAGAGAGAGTGATTTGGTTGATACACTTACAACCAGACTTTAAAACCAACTGATTTTCCCAGGTTTGATAATCTTGACCCCAGTTTGCCAATGGTGATTACAGATCTTTATATCCTAGAAACTGAGTTGGTCAAGCAAATTTCTGTGTGATTATATCATAAGCGGATGTTAGTCCCTTCTAGTGGAATGAAGTGATTGACAATAGAGTCTACTCCGAAGGGATTATGTCAGATGTGAACAGCCCAGTTAATATATTTAAATTTGTTTAACTAATAATCTACATTGTAAACTTGTAATAGTTTTGTGATAGCCTATCCAAATCTGCTCACTTGTCATTTCAGTTTATGACTTTCTGAACTTCGGCAGACGAGAGTGATATATGATTGTTTTATTTAGGCTGTGACAAGACAGTCAGTGAGCATCTCAGCGACTCCACACTAGACTAGTCTATTGGATAAAGTATACAATAATAAAGTACTGCTTACTAGATGAGTTTTGGACAGAATTTATTGTTTATAGTCATATCAAGGTATCACTGTGAGCCATATGAAATGGATTAGTCTAAAACGGAATGATATTTTACGACAGGGATCAAATTCTTTGCCTCTCAGCAACCGTTCCACTAGTGCAAAGAGAAAAGCTAATAAGCATTAATTACAATTACGTACCCTGGATTTTCAACTTGAGAAGTCATCCTATCAGAGCTTAAAATATACTTGTGTCATCTGTGGCGCCAACTGACGAGATATTCAACTATCTACCTGAGGACGAGTTTACTGAGCTGCAGTCCATCCTGCCCTATTATACTGCTGTGAGACACAGACGTTAAAAATAGACGACATGAAGAGTTTACCGAGTTTTGATTACAAATGCATTCGTAGCGTTGCTCACTTTTGGTGGAACCCCATTGTAAGCAATGTTGAAGTTAGGTAGAGGGTACCAGCGAAGACAGACAAGTCGAGTGATAAGTTTGTGAACCTCAGTCGATTGAGATGACTTGGACACGTACTACGCATGCCAATCCACCGCCTACCTCTATGTGGCATGCTAGGGGAAGTTGTATCAGTCTGTGAGAAGGTTTAGGATGGCCAGACCAAGACGTAATACCAGTCGACAAAGACTCTTACTGTTGGTCTCAGCCATGTGGGAAGATGTAGACTGTCTGGCTGGGGTCCCCGAGACGACAGGAATCAGTAGTTGAGGATTCTTATTGACACGGCTGAAAATGAGTCACAATGACGCAGATGTATTCCCTCCTTGAATATTCCCACCAACAGTTATTTCCAAATTGTTTATTCTCTCACACAACTTTGTCTACTTTGATATCACTCTTTTCCTATCCACCTGTTCTTTGTGTACTACTGTGAAGTGTGGCAAATTGACCCTATAGACCTGTGTGCGAGGTTCTATATTGATTTTATCAGTCAGTGGTGCAAACTTTTAAGAACTTAATTTATCAGTCTGTGTTGATATGTTGGCTTTTTTTAAAGAGGATGGATATGTACTACCCTTTTACTAAAACTCGATTTTTAAGTGATATCTAAAACTGATATCCAGAGCATGTGTTTAATTCTATTCATGACGAGTCAGCTGTTTGATATCATGCTAATATTCACTGAACTAACCTGTATTATGATAAACAGTAGTGTCTTTCCCTCTAAAAAAACACCTTGACTTTGACATTGTACACCAGAGTGATGGGACGAAAATTTACTACTACAAAAATCCATAAAATCTATCGCAACAGTTTAAATGTTCTCGTAACGAAAACTTAATCTCACTAAAGCAACCAAAAGCAAACTTTCGAATGTTACTCGCATTACAGAGTTTAACCAATAATACAGAGTAGACAACAAATGCTTTTATAAACCTCAATCAATCAAAGAGAATACATTAGTTTAACTTTACAACTAAAGCTTCTCTAACCTTAGGGAAATATTCACACTAAACATATATTAAAGAGTAGCACCTTTTTGTTCTATTGAGAAAGAAAGTCGATTGCCGGTGCCTTACTTAATATTTTTTTAAACGAATAAACGTACATCGAAACAACATTTCAAGAGAATATTATAGAACTCGTAACTTACAAATCTATACTGTAAAACAGCATGTTGTTTGGAAATGCTTGGATGATCCATAGGAATATCTGCAATTTTTCTATCACGACCAATAAGGAAGCCACTCTGTCTATGAATATGCAAGATGGGGAGAGTCTTATTCCCCTTGAAGGCATACAATCGCCAGTGTGAAGTCGGTTTCCTGGCGTCTTCTGGTTCATTATATTTTATCACAACACCCTTAAAAACATTTGTATCTTCCGCAAGTTTGCCTTGTAAGTTGGGAAAAATAGACAAGAAAAGAATGTGGATTATATGAAACAAGATGAACTAAAATAAGCTAATCGTTTAATATCAACATCAGTCATGGCATTACTGCATATAAGGGTTGAAGTCACGGTACTTCAGATCACCCCATCAAGGTACAAAATGAAAGACAACAAAACAAGAATGAGATACAGCAGACACTAAATATAATATAACAAGTAAGCTGAGGATAAGACGTGGGCATCTCTATGCTACTAGTCTATTCTGAGACATATTTTTAAAATTTCCTACAATCGATTTCGTTTGTTTTACAAACCCAAACCTATAAGTCTGTACTTCTCTACATGGGCCAAACTAAGTGACACATTGTGGACTGATGTCACGTCTAGGTATGGTGTGCCATGATACACGATGACTAAGTATCTGCAACACATCTCCCAGATACTTCATTCCACAAAGGCTTACTACTGCACCAACTGAATTAAACCTTTTATCTAGGACTCTAGGATTAACCTGAGTACCACTTACTTGATCTCAGGAAATATAGTCAGTGCTAAGAAGACAATAGTAGTCGGAGACTCAGAGCCTTCTTATGTCATGTAACTTAAATACCCATTTAACAGCTATATAGTAAAATTGAACGAACTGCAGCACAGAGTACTAAGCCCTTAATAGGCAATCAGGCATCACGTCAGCGCCATAAAAATCGTCGGTTGGAAGAAGCCAAGGCAGCCTTTTGTATTTAAGCAGAGATTTTGTCGGGCGCTAACTGACCACAACTGACAATACTACCTAGTTTAGTGAACTAGTCAACGCATCCAACCACTTCACTACCTACTGTCAGATAAGACATTAATGCAGATCAATCCCGAAGCAAAGATTAGAATTTAGGAAGTGAAAAACGTATCTCAAACATTTTAATTGCCACCCATTGCATCCAGAAAACTTTGCATTCTCGTAGTGTCTTTACCTAACAAAACTCATCTACGTCTACTACACAAACCGCAGTGACAAAGTCAATCTCTGTCAAGTCAGATTAGAAAAGAGCTACTTAAATACGTCTATAACGAAGTCTAGCAAAGTGGAGAGAACGAATATTCCTAATAGACACTAGTCGACGAAGACGACCCATCATAAGAGCTAACTGACCTGCAAGGTGTTCGAGTATGTCACCTTTAGTAGAGTGAAGTAATTGATGAGTACTCATTTATTAAGAAACACTTAGATCCCCATGGTTGACAGAATTACATGGGTACTACAGGTCGTAACGGAACAGCAAAGATAGATATACACAATCGATGTAGAATGTCCCACAGAAGTGTTGAGGTTCAATTTGCAATACTTTACAGTTGTGTGCAAAGAATGAAGGAATAAAAAATGAATGATATTACAGTAAAAAGTGTATAGGAGAAGAGTGAATTTAGACAATGAATTTTAGTAGAAATGTTCAAACCTTTGAAAATGTCGAAGCATGAATAAATCTGCGCTATTTTAACTGATTTCCAGCCATGTCACTCAGTCTCCAACCACCAGTTTTCAATATCGATAGGACCTCCGGTGAAGTAAACTGCGTCTTTACACGACTCGAATCACGTCAAAAACTTCATAAAATGGTGCCACGTCTTGGTCTGGCCGCTATGAGCCTTTTCCTAACCTTACTTTGACTAACATGTGTCGTCAAAACAGGCAGCGAATAGGCATACACAGAACATGCTCAAACCACCTCAGTCGGTGAAGGTTTGCAACTTAGTACTGCTCACAGGGTAAATCCACGAAACAAATAAACGATGTAACTCACACCAATACTGGTTTATGTGCAAGGTCATTTATTATACTATTATTTGTCACTTGGGTTCCTGGTGGGACACGGGTTTAGTAGCACGTCTCCATTTCACTCTGTTTTCTGTAGTTTTCTTAACCTGGCTCCACGACTCCCCACAAGCTTTCATTTCTTCCTCACATAATTTCCTCCATGTCACTCTCGGACACCCAACTCGTCGTTTTCTCTTTGGTCCCACTCGAGGACCTGGCGCGTGATCTCCTAGAATGGTCTCAGTGTATGCCCAGTTCATCTCCATTTTCTGTACTAGGCCATGAGCCACACTAATTATGTGAGGGCCTATGATACTGGACGAGCTACCAAGACCACAGTAAGTGATACGAGCGATGTTACGAATGCAATAATGGTGGGGAAGAAACTGTAACCTAGTGTTTTCCACTTTTAACCGGTTCCAGTACTACAAGAAACAGTAGACTCCTGTGCAGTATAGTTGTTACTTGATGACTATCTGTACATCTTGCTTGTGCCGGAAATAACAGTTTGACGCCACATGAGCAGATAGTAATCGGGTCGAAATTTTATCAGCAATCGGCTCATTTGGAGTGATACAACTCCCCAACTAAATTGGTCAATGTATTCAATCACTTCACTCCGTGTCTTATAACTAAGAGTTGGTGACGACTAGTCCTTAAACATCATCTTACATTTGACACGAACAAAACAGATGCAAAATTTACTAAGGTTTCTCCTCAAGATAATGTAGTTTCAAACAAGGTTTGTTTAGGCTTTTAGAGCAGCAACCCGCCAGTCTTTATTCAAATGAAAGTTTGCTGTGAGATTAGGAAGTATTTCAGTATGAGGTAAAATATAATATCCTAAGATGTGAGCAAAAAGTGTTATTTTCATCAGTATCGTACGCGCGAGCGACATTTAAGTTTGACGGAAACAGGACCATTCTCTACAAAATGAAGGCCATAAAGAATTAGTTTGCAAAACCACGCAACACATAGCAAATTATGCTAAGCAGATAAATTAAAACTCAGAAAAGTGACCAATAATTATTAAAGTGAAATGAAGATCGACAAGCAGTATTGAACACGTCTCCAAATTAACATTACACTCAATTTAGACTGATATACAACTCGTTACAATGGATTACACAGACGTACCTGAAAGCTCAAAATTAGCTTTTTGTTTCGTCACTGAGCCTGAGGTTTTGTCCAGAAGTCCACTCCTCCCTAAATTCGGTTGTGCCTCTGGTATATCTTCTGTATCTCTCATAACCAGGGGAGAGGTAACACGATTATGTCGACGAGGAGACTTGGATTTTATTATTACTGGGTCATTCAATCTATGTCTATGAGGTGGACTGTAGGACTCTCTAGGTTCCTCCTTGACCCTGATATGTCTCGAATTATCATACTTTTTATCGCTGTATGTTCTGGGAACCTTGGTAGGGCGCGAAAATTCTTCATCCTCCACTTTAACTTCTTTGAGTTTGTGTTTGTGCTTATGTTTACCTCTAGACTTCCTCTGATGATGTGTCCCACCCTCAGCAGGAGATTCTCCCATGACCCTTTGCAAGGTCAAGCTTGATTTCACCACCACTATCCAATATCCAATATTGATAGTGTGAGCGTAGAAAACTGATAGTTTTTGATGTCTCGCATCTAGTTCTTAGGGCTTGATTCGCACTGTTCCGTTTATTCCTGCTGTGGACGATGAAATCCCCTCTGCTTTCTTGCTTTTAGCCTTGGTGAGGTGGATGTTTTGTGGGTAAGTGCTTGGGGGGCTACAGGTTGTTGGGACGGTTACGGGACTGTCGAAACTCCTGTCTGTGTGCGTAACTGAAAGATAATGGTAAAGTAGTGGTAAAAAATGAAAAGAACGACGAATAAAAAAGAAACTAGGGGAAGAGAAAGGGGGAAAGGAAGAAAAAGGTGAAGAGAAGGAGGGGTGAGGAAGAGCAATAAGCGAGAGAGAAAGGCATGTGGGAATTACCCGAATGGTAGCTTGGGTTTAGTTCCTACAGAGGAATAAGCAGGTAATGTGGGTGTATTAAGCAGCGAGATAGTGTGCGGTAGGTAGGAGGGAGGTGGGGGTGGGCTGGTGAGATTGTCGACTCCAGTCCGCGGGATGCATAAAGCTTGCATATAGTGTGAACTTAGGTTCTAATATCCAATGTCTTTTCAACGAGCTTGTGTAAGCCGGTCGATTTCTTTCTGTTTGCTTCCTGGTCGTGCGGAACGGTTCCAGGCCTTCGGCGGATTCCGATACACTAGATCCAGCCACCCGTCTGCTATAGCTCTGATTAACAAAACAGGAAGTTAAATATTGGTTTGTTTGCCTTGGACTGTGGCGCAGTTGGCTTCTTCAGATGTCGACTTGCCAGACAGTTGTTCAGACTGGTAGTGAGGGAGGGTTAGGGATAGTGAAGAGAAAACCCTAGAAAGGTGAAGTTGTGTGAGTAAAAAGGGAAAAGAAAAGTGGAGTATCTACTTACACCCAAATAAGGCAAGGAGGGGTGCAAAGATACGAAGAAAGTGGGTAAGTGAAGCTAACTCATGGCAAGTAGAAGGGGTGAAGAGGGCTTAAATGGTTACAATGGGAGGAAAACTCGTTGTAGAGTTAACATAGTTGGGATGGCTTGACATCAGTTAATTTCTTCTGTTTGGTTCCTGTTCCAGCTACATGTGGGTGGACCGTGGGTCCCTGCGTGACTGTCTGCCCTCTTCTTGAAGCTTTCAATAGTTGGGGTGGAGACCACCTCTGCTGGTAGTGCGTTACAGTACCCGCAGACTCGGAGGGGGAAGTGTGAAAGCACATGAGTTTTTGATCTTTGGCGGGCTATTCTCTTTGGGTTTCCTTGAGGACCCCCATAGTGGCCACTCAGTAGTATTCCTCTGTCCCGGTGACTTGGATTATCTAGTATCCTGCAAGCCATTATCAGGTCACTTCGTAACCTTCGGCAGCCAGGAGAATGTAGGTCTAGGTCTTTCAGTCTATCCCCATATGGTTTCCGTTGCAGCCCAACAACCCCCCTCGTGGCTAGCCTCTGGACTTTCCCCAGTAGGTTCATGCCTCTTTTCAGTTGTGGTGGGATGAGGACGTTATGGACCTTTAAGTGGGGTCGTACGTAAGTCATGTAAAGCTTCAGAAAGAGCTCTGGTGTGAGGGCACGTATTTGTCTGCGCATAAAGTGTAGTACATCATATGCTTTTGAGGCATCACCTGGTTAATTGGGACTTGTGTCCGGTTCCTCTGTCGCCGTTAGACCCGAGTCTTCTTCTGCTGTCGTATGGGGTAGACGTGGACCGCAGAGATAGTAGAATACTTTCTGGATTCTGATCCCCGTAGATCCCCTTTCCTTTGTCTGAGGGAACTTTCACCGTGACTTTTTGTGTTATTCCCAAGCGTGAGAACATTTTTATTAACTGATGTACAGTAGAAATATTTTCTGCTTGACCAATATCAGTTTAGATATTCGGCTACATGCTTGTCTGATATGCTGATGACTCTGCCACTCTCGTTGAGCCCGGAAAGTAGCGGTAAGACAGACATTACTTTCCAGTATATTCGCGTGACGATAGACGACATGGGGACGCTATCACTACCGGACTTTTCGTTTAAAAATTGTGCCATTATAAAGTATTCTTTCAAACCGCCTTCTAATACAAGGTGCGGCATGCTTGGATTGCACAAAGCACCTTGTTCGCCTGCCTATGTGGTACCTGAACGGCGGATATTTCCTTCTATGGACAGTCCATGGTAGACGTCTGCGCCGTCCCCCTATCCTGCATAATTTCTGGAAGATCGTCCAGTACCCACAGGACATCTTTCGCTTCTTTCTTTGTCCATGCAAATAATACAGAGCGTCCACGACCGCAGTTGTCATTTTCGACCAGCTGAAACAATCAGTATCTATCAGATAATCACTACACAGGGACTATACTCTTATCTGTTTATGTTGCGAGTGGAATCCATGCCGACTTCTTCCTGATATTTTTCACACAACTAAGAAAAACTATCTAAAATTCCGTCACCATTCCTTTCTGGTTCGAAAAGAAGAATATTTCAGATCATGTTCAGTCGTCTGGACAAAGTTACGTTCCCAATCGCAAAACTGCTTTTCATAACTTTCGACTTCTCAGTTTTTACATCCTTGGATGTGACAACCTCATTTCACTTGACCTTGACACGTCAAGAAGCACCATCTGTAGAGGACGACTGTTGCAAAACAAGTCTCAGATTTTCCTTTTCTTCCCCTGTTAGTCGTCTTTTTCAAGCATCACAAACCACAAGCGGTTGTGCAGAGGGATGATTATGAACCACTCCGCAAGATTCAGCGCTACACTTATTCATATTCTGAAACACTGACGGACAACTTCGAAATTCACGCCCAAGACTATTTTCACGAATAGGAATCACAGTTTCCCAACCACCCCCATGTCTTCGAGTATACGGTTCACCCCAAAGCACGCTTAAAAACAACAGCGGCGTACTTCAAACTACAATCTCTCAATTCCTTGCGTTTCATCCGAATATCGTGCGCGTGAGTAACCTGTGCTCATCGTAAAAGTTGAAGGTCACATGCTTTCCGCAGCTCATTAGCCGCATCCGCAACCCCTTTTCAGCTGACGAAGGACCACCTCAGCGTCATTTCCTGGAGTGCATAAGTTATTTCTACCGAGGCTGCAATGTTGTTGGAAGCTTGGGATCTGCTATCTAAATGTGCACACCATTAAGTGGTTAGCAGCAGGAAAATCCGGCAGCAAGCATAATACGAGGGCGTTAACGCTTCATGTACACGGCAATGTTACGAAACCCGCTGCTGTTCGATGAAAGTCAGAAACCTACTAGGTTGAGCCATTATCGCCTCTCCTGATATGCGGTAGCCAGGGCTTTGGATATGAGTACCAGTTCCCCCTTACCAGCTCACTTCAGAAGAGAACGCGTCAATCGGTCTCCTGCAATGGGTTAATAGATAGCCGTAACGAATTCTATTTATTGCACTATATTGAGCACGCCTAAGTCTGCTTCTAGCAGCACCTACCTGAACAAGATTAAATATGAGAAACCTGCCTTGCTTCTGTAGCTTAAGGTCAACCACAGCTCAGAAAGTTTGTTTTGGCAACCAAAAGGCTCTCTCATCTCGGTCAAAGTGACACTATTTTGGTATGGAAGCTGATGACTGTCGTCTTCGGAACGCGGGCTGTAGACAAACAAAACACCGATTGCTGTGCCCCACAGTTTGTACACGAAGCGACTCTACACCTGTCAGGAGAACACTGAAGAGATAGCGGAAGCTTTACTGGACCAGATTAGCTGTTTTCAGTCATTCACACTACACGGATACGATCTGACATCTACACATCACTAAAGCACAAATTTAGAGTTTTAATTATTTCGAACGAACTTCCTAGGAGTAAACATGTTCACTAGACATGATGTTCATAAGCCGCTTCAACCACCTTGTTGAAGCCCTTATAGTGCTCTGTGCAGAGCGCACGAAATGTTTGTCACAGAGAAGTTCATAAAAGCCTGAAATCTTGATGCATATGGAGTAAAACTAGTATTTTTAGGAGGCGGAACAGGAAAATATGATGAAAACCCAACTTTGATATCATCGCATGTAAGTTTCAGTGTGTCTCAAGCGGCCCAGCAAACACTAACTTCTGTGTTATCTCGAGGAATGTGGAAAACGTTCGCTTCGATCCAGGTTAGGAGGCTGGGATAGAGTAGAGGTTTTGATGGGGAACGTTGCGGCCGCCATTCCTAAGTACAAAGTTACGGTGGAATTGTATATCTGACCTGATAATCTGCATACAAACCCTCCTGGAACGTATTAAGCGTTCAAAAAGGGAAGTTTTACCGAGAATCAGAACTACGGGATAGCTGCAAAATGTAGGGATGCTACAATTGTACTGCAGACACTTAGGAGGCTGGGCGACATCTGAAAAGTGAAGTTATTTTGTAACGCAGACCAGTGAGACTGCTGCGACATGGAGCAATTGGTAAAAGGATCCTCCGAATTTCGAGTAACAACCTTATTTCAAGAAGATTACAATGAAAACACAGAACTTCAGTGGGACTAACACTCGCCCACAAGCTAAATACCACCTCCATTTATCTAGCAGATACCTCCAGAGCCTGTGCAGTGCTGCACCTCGGGGGCGAACAAGTAGGTGCCCTAACTCAGAAACACCTCCTGAGGCTGTACAGGACCTACATGCGACCTCACCTAGAGGTCCACAGTGTCGCAGCACCACCGTATCCGAATGGAGGGGTAAACCTCCTGTAGAAGGCCCGGAGGCGAGCAGCAGTTGGTGGTGTGTGAATGAGACGAAAACCCTGTGAGAACAGCCTGAGGGACCTACAGCACGTTTCCAGTAGACAGTCAAAAGACAAACAGTCAAATCACAGTACAACCGTAAGTTGAAACAAAACAAAATGTCGGGCGCAGTGAAACAACATCACTTTGTCAACAGTCCAGCGTCACATAATAGGAAAGTGGAACATTCGTGATAAGTCTCAATCATACAAGGGCAAATACCGGATAAAAGGTCAAAGAA